AAATGATATTATATTTAAAAGTAGAAAGCAATTATGAATAATTTTATTATTTTTATTACTATTTATTTCAAAAAAAAAAATTATTCCCATACTTCGAATAAATCAACTTTTAGTCGATTTAGTCGATTTTAAAAATGTATTAGTCGATTTTAATTGACTTTAGAAAATTTATTATTCGATTTAGTCGAAATTTAGTAGTCGAAACAACACTAATAAATTTTGAGTAAAATTTTTGATTAACAACAACTCTGCTATAAAATTATATTTTAGAGTTTAAAGTATGACTTTTAAGGAGTTTAGTTATTTAGAAATATTTATATTAAAATGTAATAAAAAGTTAAAGTTTTATATTCAGAAAAAAAATTTTAATTAAAGAAAATATTTCCATATATTTTAACAACAACAGATACAAATCATTGTTTTCTAAACAAATTTATGAGTTTAGTTTAACTTTAACACTTAGGTTCTTTATTAGATCTTAGTGTAATTTGTGCACAAAAATTGTTTAAAAATATATTTGCAAGTGTGTTGCAATGTTTTCGATTAATTTCAAAACAATAAAGTTCAGAAACTAGCTAAAAGATATCACTTAAGGACTTACGACAAACTTTATATTTCATTGAATGGAATAAGACAAAGCAAAAAAAACCCATTGGCAAACATTTTCTGGTGGAATTTTAAAACCACTACGAACCTATAGACTCAAGTTAGTCACCAAACTTTTCATAATAAAGTAATGTTTGATTGAACAAATTGTTTTCATTATATTCATTTCTATATAAGTAACCAGCAATATATATCAAAGACATTTTGGTAGTATCAGAAATTAATGACTCTAGTTTTTCTAAATTGTCAAATATTTCACTACCTGTTTTACATAAAACATATGAGCAAGAAGCACACTCATGAAATCAAAAGAATCTCAATGTCAATATTTAAAGAAAGCAACAGTGATGTGTGATTTATATGCAACTTTTCTATAATTTGTTGAACATTTATAATATAGGCATCCCCGGAACCTTGTCTCAATTTCCTAAATTCTTTTTCTAAATGATCACTTGTAAACATACCAAGAAGAACGTAACCATGACTAGTTACTAGATATTTACATAGCTCGACAATACCATAGCAAGTATGGTAAATTAAATTTGCAGTATCACTAAATAATTGATAACTGCTTAACTCTTTTGCCATTTTTACAATACATTTTAAGAACCAAACAATGTTTCTCCATAGAAGAGCATTATTTTTTTGACATATACTTCATTATGATTAATTATACAAATTTTTTGTTTTTCTTCAATGTTTTTGAAAACTGAGTTTAAGAAACTAGCATCATCTATTTTTTAAACTTTTTATGTAATGCGTGTCAAAGTACTGACTGACGGCAATTGAAAATCATTTCTTAGTTTACTGCATAAAGCACGAGATGCTAAAAAATATTCAAAACTACGTATAATTGCATTTGATTCAGATATTTTTTTTCAATCAGCTTTGCAGACATAACTGATATTTGTTGCTGAATAGTGTTTTTCTTATGACTTATTTCCATGACATTTTAAAAATGTATAATTTCCTCAAACTTTGACCAAGAATCTACAATATTTATACGATTTTTACACAAACTTTTTTATAAAACATTTTATTCCAAAATGAAATCTTCCAAAATGTAAATTCTTAAAAATTTTAACAAGACATAAAGAAATACCATCATAAAACGTAATAGATTGAACATTAATTGTTATTTCAATCATATATGGATGGTTAAGCGCTAAACCTGTCTATGCAACGAATATGTTGAAACGAGATAATTAGACGCAAAGTTTTTAACAAAAAGTCACTAACAAAAGTTTTTAACAAAAAGTCACTAAACCGAAAAAATTAAAAGTATTTGCAGTTAAGTGCGCTTAAAAATTTTAATCATAGTATATTGGTGTTAGCAAAAAAACACTACATAAATCTTTTTTTAACATAAACTCATTTTTTTCAACTTTTTTGTATAGGCAGGTTTGGCGCTTAATCATCCATATGTTACTATTGAAACTAAAAATGTCCTGAGATTATTTTATAAAACATTTTTAAAATCAATATATGTTGCTGTATCAACCAATAAAAAAGTGCTAAGTTCATCAGTTGTAACAGTTCTAACAACGCTCAAAGATTTCGACGAGATATATATATATATATATATATATATATATATATATATATATATATATATATATATATATATATATATATATATATATATATATACCGTCGGGTTACTTTGATAAGTTTTTGTAATTTTTTTAAAAATTCTGATAAAATTTTAATAAATTGCTGCCATTTTTGGTCTGAATATGCCAAATAATTTTTCCTTGACTGGAAAAAATGCTTTTCCGAAATATGAGAACCTGTTTTATATATTTTTTAAAAGCCCAAACAGTTATCAATGTAACCCCGCATGTCGGGGTTACTTTGTTAGTAAATGTTATTTCAATCAAATACCAAATTAATC